GAGATGGAAGATGAGGAATTGGCTATGCTAAGCAAGCATGTGTCGAAGCTGCTAAGACTAAGGAGAGAAAAGAAAAGAGGAGGACTAATGAATTGATTCAAGGAAGAAGATCAATCAAAGCCAGGTCAACTGATGCCAAGGACCAGAAAGGAAGGTACATCAAACGACAAACAATCAACACAAGCTGGTTGATTCAAATGTGGGAGACTTGGCCACATAAAGGCCGAGTGTCCAATGATGAAGAAAGAAAAAGCATACGCAGCTACTTGGAGCTGCAGTGAAGGGGAAGATGAGGATGAAGAAGTCAGACACAAAACATATATGGCACAGGAAGAAAGCAACGATGATGTGCTGACTTCTCAGGTAAGTAACTCCACCTACTACTCTGACTACTATAGTGAAAGTGAGGAAATGACTGAAACCATTAAAAACAATGTTGTCAGAACCGAACCGTCATATGAACCGGTATTATAAGCGGCTCGCACTTTATTGGTTTAACCGCTATCAAGCCGTTATAACCCGTTATCGAACCGGTGTCTAAGGAATAGAATTATTATAAATAGAAACCATTAATGTTATTATAATTATATATTTATTCTAATATATTCAAACAAAAAATTATATATAACAAGTAAAGAATATTATTGTACAGAAATATAAATAATTTAAGTATAATACGAGTGATTTTTAATAGTTATGAACATTATTTAATGATTAGTTTCAAAACTAAACACTGCGAAAGTGTATAATAATGAGACTTGTAGCTTCTATTGCACAAGTTGGTAGTAGCGCAACTGGATAAACGTTAGACTTTGCACCAACAGCTGTAGGGTTCGATTCCCAGTTCTCTCCACCTGGCTGGATATTTTTGTCACCAGGATTGGTGACCGGGTGACGGTTTCACCGGTCAGACTGACTGGTCCGGTCCGGCTTTAATAACACTGATTAAAAACATACAGGTTGAATTTGAGAATGTTAGGCATAAACACATAAAGCTGAAATCTAACTTTCTGGATGTGAGTAATGCCTATAATAAGCTTCAAGAGGATAAACAGGAAATAGAGAATCAACTTAAGAAATATATACTAGAAAATGAAAAGCTTAAGGCAGAACTCAACAAATTAAAAGAAGTACAACTTCATAAAGAATGTAAGTGTAGTAACTCAAGTATAAATGAGTTCAAAATAGGTGGCTGGGCTGTAAAATCACCTAAAGGTAGAATCTCAAACAAACATGACTCAGATAGAAAAAGATTGGGTGTTTCTACTGTCATCAAAATGGTCACTACATTGCCAACTGTAAGAAAAGAATAATGAAGGAAAACCGGTTGAAGAACCAGATATGCTACAACTGTGGGGAAACTGGTCACATTAGGAGATATTGCAATAAAACAATAAAAGTATCCAAACAAATTTGGATACCAAAAACAAAGTAAAACAATGGTTATGCAGGTCTGTCTCCAAGTGAGCATGGATGACAGTGAATGGATTCTGGACAGCGGGTGCTCACACCATATGACAGGTACAAAGAGGTTATTTTCTAAACTTATCTTGGGAAGAAAAGGTAAAGTCTACTTTGGTGATAATTACAGTACTAGCATCCTAGGAAAGGGCCAGGTTGGAATAACCGCTTCTATTAAGGATGTTATGTTAGTAGATGGTCTTAAACACAACTTGCTCTCAATTAGTCAGATGTGTGGTACTGAAAACAAGGTAGTATTTGAACCAGAATCATGCTATGTGGAAAATATTTGAAGTAAGTAGATCTTATTCACTAGTAAGAGGAAAGGGAAACTGTTTGTTATTGACTTAAATGATAAAACTCTATTCAATGAAACCTGTCTAGTCAGTGTAGATAAAAATGATCAATTGGAATGGCATAGGAAGCTAGGTCATGTTAGTATAGGGATCCTTTCTAGATTAGTGAACCTAGGGGTCGTTTGGATGAGGAATTGTAACGGATCAATTTGACACAATTGTCTCGTTTTGAGACAATTGTACCAAATTGCCTCGTTTGCCAGCAAAAAATTTTGGATGGATCAATCTGCCCGAGGTATTTTGAATTGATCCATTTTGAGTCAATTTCAATTACCTGGGGTGGGGGCATGTAATTTGAATTGACTCGTTTTAATTGCCTCGTTTATAAAATGAGACAATTGGTCAAATTGTCTCATTTCTAGATTGATCCATCCAAACGACCCACTAGGTCTTGCTAGGGGCATCCCTAAACTACATAGTAAAAAGGAATTTTTCTGTGCAGCTTGTGCAAAAGGTAAACATACCAGATCTTCTTTCAAAAGTAAAACCTTAATCTCTACTAAAAGACCTCTAGAATTACTTCATTTGGACCTTTTTGGACCTACAAATGTCAAAAGCTTAGGTGGGAAGCAGTATGCATTTGTTATTGTAGACGATTACTCTAGATTTACATGGGTTTTATTCCTTGCTTCAAAAGATGAAACCTTTGAAAATTTCATAGTTTTTGCTAAGAGAGTTGAAAATGAAAAGCGAGTCAAAATTGTTAATATCATAAGTGATCATGGAGGAGAATTCATATCTGAATTATTTGGTTTGTTCTGTGATGAGAATGGGATCTCACACAACTTTTCAACTCCCAGAAGCTCTCAACAGAATGGGGTAGTAGAACGAAAAAACAGAACTTTAATAGACATAGCAAGAACCATGTTAAATGATTATGGTCGAGCTAAACATTTCTGGCAGAAGCCATTAACACAGCTTGTTATGTAACGAATAGAGCTCTCATTCGATCTAAACTGAATAAAACTCCATATGAATTATGGAAAGAGAGAAAACCGAATCTGGAATACTTCTATCCTTTTGGATGCAAGTGTTTTGTTCTTAACACTAAGGATAAACAGAGAAAATTCGATGCCAAGTCTGATGAGTCAATATTCTTAGGTTATTTTACCCACAGTAGAGCCTATAGAGTATACAACAAAAGGACCCTCAAGGTTGAGGAGTCCATCAATGTTATATTTGATGAATCTTCCATTGAGTGTGCAGATAGCCTGGATGATTCTGAAGACTTTGGACTTGGTAGAGTAATAACCACAGGAGCCACAAAGGAAACCATGACTGATGGTAATCAGATGAACGACAAATCAGAAGATTCAGCAAATGAGAATGAGCCTCAAGTCCCACCTCACATCAGAAGACGTCATCCATCTTTTCTCATTATTGGAAATCCAGAAGAAGGTATTGTTACTCGATCTAAGTCCTCTTATGTGCATTTTGCCTTTGTGTCATTGATTGAACCAAAGAATGTGATGAAAGCTCTAGCTGATGAGTACTGGAATGAATCAATGCATGAAGAAATGAATAAATTTAAAAGAAATAACGTGTGGGAACTTGTTCCTAGACCTGAAAATAGAGCTATAATTGGAACAAAATGGATTTGGAGAAATAAATCTGATGAAGTAGGAATTGTAACTAAAAACAAGTCCAGGTTAGTTTCTCAAGGCTATAGTCAAGAAGAAGGAATATATTTCGATGAAACCTTTGCGCCAGTAGCAAGATTAGAAGCTATAAGATTGTTGTGTGCTTTTGCTGCATCTAATGGTTTTTAACTTTTTCAAATGGATGTAAAAAGTTCTTTCCTAAATGGAGATATAAAAGAGGAAGTATATGTGTCTCAACCCCTTGGTTTTGAAGATTATGAATTCCCAGATCTTGTATACAAACTTAACAAGGCTTTATATGGACTTAAGCAAGCTCCTAGAGCTTGGTATGATAAGTTAAGTACATTTCTACTAGGAAAGGGGTTTCGTAGAGGAGCAGTTGACAAAACTTTGTTTATTAAAACTGAAAATACTCACACATTGTTAGTACAAGTATATGTCGATGACATCATTTTTGGGTCATCCAGTAGTGCTCTATGCAAAGAATTTGAACAAGACATGAAAGGAGCCTTTGAAATGAGTCTCATGGGAGAACTCAACTTCTTCCTATGACTGCAATTTAAACAATAAAAAAGGGGGATCTTCATTAGTCAAACTAAATATATTCTAAACATGCTTAAAAATTTTAAACTTAATAATCTCAAAGTTGTTGTCACCCCTATGGGATCAACAGTCAAATTAACAAAAGATGAAACCGGACTTGTTGCAGATGACAAAATGTATCGAGGTATGATTGGGTCACTACTGTACTTGACAGCTAGAAGACTAGATATTATGTTTAGTGTGTGTGTATGTGCAAGATTTCAAAGTTGCCCTAAAGTAAGTCATCTGACTGCTATAAAAAGGATTTTCAGATATCTGATTGGCACCCCTCACCTCGAATTATGGTATTCCTGTGATGCTAGTCTAGAGCTAATCAGTTATAGTGATTCAGACTATGCTGGTTGTGTTGTTGATAGGAAAAGTACATCTGGTACTTGTCATTTCCTAGGGACTTCTTTGATTTCTTGGGCAAGTAAAAAACAAAGCTCAGTATCACTATCCACTGCCGAGGCATAGTATATTGCTGCTAGACTAAGTTGCACTCAGTTACTATGGCTTAAATACCAAATTCAGGATTATGGGGTAGATATAGGCTCATTACCAGTACTGTGTGACAATACAAGTGCTATTAACATGGATAAAAATCCGATTCAGCATTCTCGTACAAAGCACGTTGAAGTAAGATATCACTTCATTCGTGACCTAGTGCAGAAAGGCAAAATCTCTCTTGAGTTCATTAGCACTGACATGCAATGGGCTGATATTTTCACTAAACCTCTAGGAGCAGAAAAATTTCTTCCCATTCGTCAGGAACTTGGCTTATTTACCTTGTCTGACATTGAATCCTTGGGATCTCGAGAATATAAACTTGCCTTCCCTAAGGAACATTAAATCACTTGTCAAATCTCATCTTTCCTTATTCCTCCTTCTCGAATATTCACTAGGGTCAATCATTTCTTATATGTAGATGAGCTTGTAGGGTTCTGTCAAATCTCCATCTTCGGCCATCTCTAAAACTGTCACTCCAACCGTCGCTCAAATGGCTTTCAACAATGCTCAGTTGCATCCTGCAGCTGTGTTTAACAACAAAGGCTTCTGAAATGCTGCCACTGACACCTACTCCAGATACCTTCGCAGGTTTCGTGGTCGTCCCATCTATCCTTCCTTTTCCATTCAACCCTTTGGGTTTTCCAAACATGACATGGATATTCCATCACTTCTTGATGGCCTCGGCTGGAGCTCGTTGGTTAACAACATGCGCTTTAGTCACTGTCCTGAGGCAGTCAGATTGTTCTATGTCAATCTCAAGTGTGGTCCTGAGTGTGATCCATCCTTCTTCACTACATATGTCTTTAACTATGAGATCACAGTCACTCCCACTCTCCTCGCAGCCTTGCTCGATTGTCCACACTCTGGACTTCAGGCTGGCACAGATAGTTAGTTTGTTGCTCATGGCTTTGATTTACTTGGTACTCTGTCCCGACACACTCGTAACATAGGGCAGTTCTTTCCCTCACCTCTCGCAGCTGGTCGTCTACCTGATGACCTGAAGGTGCTACCTTTCTTTATCACCAGGTGCTTCCTCCCTCGTGATCTGTCCAACACTGATATTCTTCACTCCATCAATCTCTGGATCATTTCCAATGCCAAAGCCGGTCGTTCAATCGGCTATGTGTCTCTCATGTTTCAACACATGATTAAGTTTGGCCTGGAATATTTTGGTGGTCCACTACCTTTTGGCCATCAAATCAACAAACTTCTATACCAGCTTGGTATTGATCTGTGTGACAAAGTCACCATATGCAATGTCCTGGATGACTTACGTCCGCAGCATGTTTTGGCTAGACTTAATGCTCTGGTTGGCCCCCGAAAGCCTGTCACTGGCTCAGGGGGAGTCATGATCAGTCCTAAAACCTATCAATCTGAACGCCTAGCTGGTGCTCTGGTTGATGCAGTTGTATCTGTAATCAAACGAGAAACATCATGTTCAAGGAAACAGACTGCTACTCTGAAACTGCTTAGGCAACATGATCTGATGTGGCCCAAGTTTGTGTATGAGTCTGGAGCAGTTAATGACCCCATGAGCTGTGACTCATAACCTGATGAGGAAGACGGCATCTCGGATTATGAGTCTCCTCCAAAATATTAGTTATAGGAATCACTCAGTTTTGTAGGGAGAGTTTCAAGAGTCTTAGTATGTGTTAGGATGATTGAGTCATGCTGAGTTCTGGTTTTATTGTGATGTGTCAGTGAAGTCTCGTGGTTCACTTATGTTTTAATAATGAATAAAAGGAATTCTCCTGAATGTTTTCTCTTGCTGTCCAAATAAGACATTGCTGTTACAACCTTGGTTTATTTGTCAAAACAGGCTACACTAACTGTGTGTTAAGTGTGTGCAGGTGATAAAATGAGCCAATGACAAGCTTAGGGGGAGTTTGTTAGATGAAGCTTGGTCAATGGCAATGACAAATAAAGGAAAGAAGAAGAACAGAGGAGCTGGGGAAACAGTAAAAGGAAAGAGATGATATGGAGATCAATCAGATTCATCAACGAGACCACAATTGATTTCCCAAATCAATCAGACAACAGCCAGCAAACTAAAAGTATTAAGCCAGCAAATTAGATTGGGACAGTAAGCCTTTCGAGTAAAAACTCGAAGTTGGGAGATTGAGAGAATTGTCTAAGTTTTGAATGAAAGGAAGTGTGAACTGTCGAGTGTGATAGTTTGTGTGATCCTCAAGGTGGAACTAGGCAGGGAGCAAAGTTCTATAAGGGATTCTGATCTTGTGACGGGGAGTCACAGAGAGATTGAAGCTTGTAATATGTAATCGGATCAACAATCATAGTGAAACGTCAAAGGACTCAAATCAGAGTACCTTTGACTGTGGACTAGTCGATACTGAATTCTCAGTATCAGAAACCACGTAAAAAAATTCATCATGTCAATTTTACTTAATAGTTTATACACTGATTCTGCAGGTTACCTCTAGCTCAGTAAGAACACTCTATTTTGCAGGTTTGGGTATTGACAAGGAAGCTTGATCGAGCAAGAAGAGATTGAGAGGAAACAGTGTCGCGTTGAAGAACTGAGCAGGGCTTAATTCAGCATTGAGCAAATAACGACTGGGCCTTTAGCCCAATATCACATATAATCATTTCAATGTTGAAGTTATGTTTTGCATCTGATCAAACAAACTCAAAACTCATTTTCAATTTCGCAATTTTGTTTCTCTTTCAGTCGAGCATATTAGGGTTTGAAATCAAAAGAAGAGGGAACGCTATTGCAGCCTCGCGCTCGTCTGCACCAACATACAGGATGCGTGTCGTCGGTGTTGTCAAATGGGTTTTGATGAGTTGTTCATTCAAGAGGATGCCAAAGTAGTTATTGAGAAGATTCATGGTATTGAAATAATGGATCAGCAGGGTGGAGCTATACTTCCAAAAGTGGCAGAGTTGACTATGGCACGCCTGGGGTTTGAGTTTCACTTTGTAGGTAGGAATCACAATAGGGTTGCCCATTTGGTGGCTAAGAAGGCCCTTTTATTTGTGCCCTACGTTATTGGGTGTGTTTGATTTTTCATAATTAGGTTAGGTATGCTATGTAAAGACTTCTATCTGGTTGATCTTGGTAATACCATGAGCTTATGACAAAAAAAGAGGTAATGTAATATGACTAAAAGGAATTTATTATAAAAAATATGAATTAAAATTCTAAAACATACCAGAACCTTTAGAAAACAACCCACAACCTCACCACACCACAAAAGTCATACCATAAATATTAGAAAGCATACCAGAAAACCTCATAAAGCATGTTACCAATAGGGATGTCAGTCCAACCCGTAACCATGGGTACCCTACCCGACCTTAACCGGTCAACGAGGGTAATTACCCGCTTTGACGGGTTAAGGGGCGGGTACGGGTAATACCCGGTTTTAAAATAAAGGGTAGGGTACGGTATGGTAATCGATAATACCCGCCCCGTTATACTCACCTCGCTAACCAAATGGTCAATTTCCCTTGAGAAATTTAGTTTAGTTTGAGAAATTGAGTTTAACTACCATTATTGATGATGAAGATGTAGACGATTATTATGTTTGTGTGGATTGTAGAAGCAAGAACAATTATTATGTGTTTGCTGTTTTTATCCGTGTGGATTTTTGAAGCTAGAACAGTTGCAAGTATTGAGAACTTTTAATGGACAACAGTATGTATGTGCATATATGTGTATAAGTTCATAGTTTAGGATTCGTACCCATGGTTACTCGAATACCCGTGGTTACCCAATGGGTAGGGTATGGTTATATAATTTTCATACCCGGTGGTTATTTGGTCGAGTATTTTAGAAGGCTCCGGTGGGTTAGGAGTTGGTATAGGATAAACCTGCACCCGACCCTACCCATTGCCATCCCTAGTCACCAGTTCATTAAAGACATACCATAAGTTCATTAAAACATAATGTGTCTACAAGTTTCTTAAAACACACCACAAGTTCCATGAAACATGCCAAAATCACATAAAGCATACCAGAAATTTCTTAAAGCGCACCACAACTCTTATCAACCACTCTACAATCCTTTGTTTTAATTTTACTAGCTTGTGCCCAACCTGTTGGCCGCAAATTTCTACTTGTCACAATCAGGTTTATTAAACCATTATTTAAGATCAAATTAATAGGTTTATGTTGTGGCTGGTAATACTTTTGTAATTAATTATGGCTCTTTATAATAGTTTTGTAATTGGTACAAAAGGAGCGGTACTATTTAGCCACAATGTGGCATTGAGAAAACTGTAGATACTGACAAAACATAAAAGCATGAATGAAAAGAATGACCATGATGAAAAATGAACTTAGCATTGGCCATGAATTCTAAGAAGCTGTAAATAAAAACAATATATATTCATAAAAATTCAACTAACATCATTAATTTAATTCAAATCCGATGAATTTATGATGTAAAATGCATTTAGTATCCTAAAATTATATTTTTGAAATAAGCTTTTCATAACCGTTTCACCTAATGCAGAAGTTAGCAATGGATTTGCCACCGGTGACATATATAAGATCAGTAGTCTTCTTCCATATTTTCTAAGAAGAAAGTTAGTCAAAGTGAATATTTTTAATAATAATATTTTGGTATCTACACGTTTCACAATTTTTATAATAGTACAAAAGTTAGATGCCACTTGAATCTAGGAAGCCAATCGACAATTAATCTATAAATTTATCAATTTATTTAATCAAATCCATGAATATTGAAGAGCTCAATCTATAAACGCAATTTATGTCACCTCTAATTTCACTTAAGTAGTAAAATTAAGCGCCAATTCAATACTAATCTATCTATCTATATCTATCTATACTTAATATTATTGTTATTCAAACGTAACTTCTTGTCACATGAGCACTTGGTGAATTTACAAGATGCCAAGGTGGACAATTTTTTTACAAACACAAATTTATTTATTGATCTATTTATGGAGCTATCTCTCTCTTCTTTTAATACTTCTATTCATTTTCACTAAAACTTAAAATAAGTTATATTTTTTTGTGAAACATTTAAACAAACAAACACACATAAGTAATAATCTTTTCTTCAATTAAACAAAATTTAAACGATGGCCTAAGAGAAAATAAGCGGTTGACAATAAATCGCTTTTGAAAAATGAACTACATGACTATATATATATATATTTGCTATAAATAACTAACTTCTTTCTAATGCATATACTTATAAAATAAAACAAGTATAATTTACATAGAAAAATGTCTGGAGATAAACTTGATAGAACAATAATTGTTATTTTTTTAAAACACTTATTATTCATTCCGATTAAATGAAAACATAATAATTATGAACGCAACCTTTTAATTTATCTCTACCCTTTTTCCATTTGGTTGTCTCTCTAGAAATAAAATCCATCATTGAAAATAAGAATTTAGATAGAGAAGGAAATAGTAATGCATATGAATTTTTTTTTCTTTTGGTAGGAGAATAGGAGGAGGGAGGTACACGAGGCAACGATTAGATGGCAAAAGTTTGAGCAGTTGTAACATATTTTTGCATGTTAATGAAAGCAGTTCATCCTATCATTGCGAAGACGATGTGAACCAAACCGAGAATTGTCGACTGCTCCCTCTTCCTCCTTGATTTGAAGCTGGCAACTGCTCACCCTTCTTCCATTATTTTCTTAATTTCTTCCAAATTAAAACTATTGGATGGTAAATTTCCCCACTCGATGAACAAATGTATTTCTTCTTCTTTTTCATGGAGTTGTTTTATGTGCTCTATTACGTAATATACTTTTGTGTAAATAGGTAATATATAATTAGAAAGGATAATTGGTTGGAATTAGGGCATATCTCCATTGGTTGAATAATTGATCGTTTTCCTTAAATGCCTATTGCAACCCGATTCCTTAGATGTTGAAATGGAAAGTAGAGTTGTGAGGGTTGTTCATTATATTCCTTATGTTCATGATTGATATACTACTAGCTAGCTATAAGATGATGATCTGGTTAGTAATTAGTACTTAGCAGTGGGATTATTAGTAGAAGGGAACATAATTGGGGTTTTATAAAAGTCATGAAGAAGAAAGAAAATGATGGTGGTGGTTCCTCGGTTGTGTATTTTGATGTTTTTCAATTTCTACATGTTTGCTATGACATTTGTTTGTTTCAATAGGGTGGATTTTTCCTCATTGAATCCCTAACTAAAGCTTGATTTTGACATGATTGTTTTCTTACCAACTACTATCTGGATTGGTGCATAGATTCAGTTCACAAATTAGGAATCTGCAAGATAGAATGAGTTGAGTTGTCTTGAGGTATGTTCATTTCATTATTTGTCTATGTTGTTATTCAGTAAAAAAACACCATTTTTTCCTTTAGGAGATATGCAGCTCTCTATAAAACATAAATTGTGTTTATATGCAGTTTAGTTTGCTGAAAATATTACTTTAATAAATTAGTGACAACTGATAGTTCTGTTTGTGGTTGGTTTTGCTAGAATATTGCCAAGTTAAATTAATCGAGTATCTGGAAGATTGATGGATGTGGATGCTAATTTATTTCATCATTATTCCAGAATTGCAGGTGTAACTTATAATACACGATATTGGTGAGATCTAGATCGGAATATTCTTTAT